CATTCTAATTTTTTGAGTGTTTATGGCCCTTCAGCGCTGCCTGTGAACACGCTCAGCAGCTGGCAGCTTCCTCCACAGTGTGATTGGATGTCACACTGTGATCTTGTGCAGTCGTACTAACGACCGTATTGCAAGTGAGGCCATCGCACTCACGCGTAATACATTCAAACGATTGTGGACGCTCGCTCTAAGACGTTCACAGGATGGCCATCTGATGAACATGTGGCAGGAATCTTCACGGTTCGATGCTGAAACCGAGGCAAACCTAGGATGTTATCAAATTTGTCATATAAATTCAGTACGCCGAAACTGTCATCGTACTGCGAACCTTCTAGCGTGTAGTGAAGTCCCACTACACGTTTCAAAAATGTTATCGATGCGCTTGTTGCAAGGAAGGCGCACCGTCATCTTCGTCGGAGGGATATCGCGCTCTACAAATTTGAGCCTACGATCCCTTAAAGTCTGGAGACGAACAAATTTTTTTTGACGCCCCACAGTCTAATAGGGCACGACGTGACAAATGATCTGCCACTTCTAACGTCAAGGTGATGAAAAGTACCTCATTACCGAGTGCAGAGACACACAGTGATGGTGAGTCTGGAGAAGCTTTCATTAAGATATTTGCAAATTCTCTCGAGGTTGCTGAGCCAGGAGGGCGCTCCGCCCCTACTGATCCTGACCGTTTTTTGACGGTCCACTGTGCTGTTGCGATTTGGCAACAACTTTGGACCCACGTCTGTAGCCCTTCTTGGCAAATGGTCGAACTATTCGCTCAACGTTTCGAGATACTGGGCGTAGGGCGCTACACTCGTAAGCGTAGTGTACCAACTTTTGACAGCGATTGCACTTCTTTAATTGCTTGATAGCTGAAGATCAGGGTCTCTCGCTATCAACATAACAAGAGGTACATAGGTTCTGTACCTCCGACTTCTTGTTGTTTTGGGGAAAGATGTGATACGAACTAGCATGATCCTGTCTCAAGCTGATGTTTTTCTGTTCTACAACTGATATTGCTTCATCTAGCGTATCCAATTCCAAGCGGAACAGGTGAGTCTTGACAAGAATGTACGCATGACCCTGCATGAACGCAGTGATCAATTCGTACTCGTGAACCAGGTTAGTCGTGATACAACTCAAATGGACTCGTATGTGTTGAGCGTAAGTGTGCACACCACGCTTACCCTGCTTGAATTCAGGAGCTCTTATCGAGCCCTGTAATCAGCCCTTGGCGGCTCAAATGTTTGTCTGAGACGATTCTTGAAGACCTTCAACGACCCAAACGCAAATGGCTTGTGCAAATTGAGCCCTAATGCCCAGGTTATGGCACGTTTAGCCAGGTTCGACTGAGCAAATGCAACTTGCATTTGCTCATCGAAGATGTGACAAAGCCCTTTTGGCGTCGTCCAACTCGACGAACTATTCCAGCATGTAGTCTTCTTCAAATCCTCTGTAATATGGGATGTCAATCTTTAAAGTTTCGGTTCGACGCGAGTGCGTCGCCTTGGGAACAGCAGCATGTGCCTGCCGTTGTCTCAACAGTTGGACCTGTTGAGCACTTTGTTCTCTAAACCGCTCTGCCTGTTGCTGGTGAAGCAAGTTTACTTTATCGCGTGACTCGTCGAGTTCATGATGTATGAACTTGGCGACGGCGGCATGCTGCCCATATCTGTCCAGTGCGGACAGTATGTCTTATACGGCATGTTCGCCGACGGTCGAACCCGTTCGTTCGATCGCCTTCCATTCGATAGTCACTCAAAAAGGAGTAGTTTTATACGTGGCATGAAGGATGTCACTACCATCATCCAAAATGTTCATGTTGGATGTAGGGGTTGCGGTCCTTGGACGGAATACAAAGTGCTACTAGGTGTAACGAAGCACTGGTCACTAGTACTGCTTCAGCACTCGTGCACCTACACTGACAACAGTGTAGGTAGTGCCGTGCGTCACGTCACGTACACCTTACTTGCAGAGGAAGGCTAGATAGTGAACGACGCGTTCAATAGGAGTAGAAAGTAAGCTTTAGTAACTAGAATTTTGTCATAATTACATGTACCTATGTTTAGTCCCAATTTGATTATAATTATCTACAAAATGCATGCCGAAGTCTTGCACACCACTCATTGCGCGCGTCCATCGTTGATTGGATCGCTAGAGCTAGCTTTGTGGGGCAGCCCGTTACATGATTTTGACACCAAACTGTGTCAATAGGGAGATTGTCTAGAGTGACAATTCCCTGCCAATATTACCCAAGATGGATCATATTGACGGGATATTATCCCCTTCTAGGATAATTTTCATGCGCTGCTCAAAGATTGATTAATAAAAGACATTTCAACCAATATTACCACTAATCGCTGCTAGACGCGCGTAATGAGTGGTGAGCAGGTCGTCGTCATACGACAATATAGATTAACAAAGTTCGATAAAGACTGAATTTAAATATTGACAGCTTAACGATATTAAATGCAGTTTTCTTTTATCCTTTATTTAATTTAGCTGTTGAGTAAATTAGCTTCCACTGCACATATGGGTGTACGTGATATTTTGTGGCACCCAAAACAAAGGGTGACCTGTTACACACATGATCTTCGGTCAAGATTCAGTAACGCGACAGCCACACGAAGCTGACTGGAGCTACCTACTGAAAGCACAGATTTGAAGCAATCCTCCGTTATAACACACAGTAAAACGAAAAGCGACTTCAACACTTTTACTCGATTGGCGATCATGTCATGATCAGCATTGATAAAAAATTGTAGAAACAAGCAACGTCAGGTCGCGACGGGACCCTGCGCTATCACTGAGGTCCATGACAACGGCACTGTGACTATAGCGGAGCTACTCAGCGCTCCTTAACAGAGGAAGTCTTAGACTCAAAGAGCCTCTTTGTTATAAAAGCTTACAACGACGTACAGTCGTTCAAGCGTACAAGCTTAACAATTCCAATTCCATAAGGACTAGATTTACAGAATCACACACTGACAAGTCACTTCTAGTTAAACAAGACTAAACGCTTTGACAGGGCTAATGCTCTAAACAGCATACTACGCCTTGACGAGGCACTAGCGTTTAACGATTCAAAAGGGAAACTGAACTTTATTTATTCTTCAACTACGGTGAAAAATCTAAAACTGTGTCTGACCGACTTCTACATTGCGATCCTATGACAGAAGTCTGATCCCTTATCCTTACCCGATAAGGTGCGGTATTCCCGTGAGTACGTGGTACCGAGACTGTACCACTCAGATCCACCGATCTTTGCTTGGTGTGGACACACAATGTACCCGATCAAATAACCGCGAGTAACCCCGTTACAGTGACGCTTGACTTCGGAGTCACGCAACAACGGATTAACATCCGCCGACTCTTTCCGTGTAAGAATTGTCAAGCATCCAGCATGGGGGCGAGTGACAAGATTGTTGAGGTTTCTTAGTACTACTGTCTGCTCGTTCGCTAGAAATTGTCGTTAGGACAGTGACCATCAATCTGGCAGCACCTGTGGACCTTAAAGGTAAGAAGAGTGGGAGAACGTGATGACTCGAGACGCATTAACAGAGCAGTCCTAACAAAAATCTTCACTTTTTAGTTTTAACACGAAGTCAACCAACGTGAACGCTCCTCTGCAAGCCACGAGCATGTCAAGACGCCGATATCGATGTGTGCCACCTGAAGGAGACTGCCACTAAGCAACAGTATGTTCACAGCATGCAAAGCTGTGCTTCAGCAGGACAAAGCCTAGGTTGATTGTACACAGCTCAAATAGAGTCGCTTTCAACGCGACATGCTTGCATGTAAGACAAAACCCGAGGATGTCGTACTACTACCGCTTAACTAGAAGAGCTGCAGCTTCTTCATGAGACGTTAAGTACTACTGCATACTGAGTCACAGGGAACCATATTATCAGTGATCGGTACGGCGAGATGGATGAGACAAGAGTGTACGAAATAAATGTGCTGAAAACAAGGGTGCGCAGGTAGATGGTATACAATGGAACTCACCTTTTTTAGTTCTGGCATCGCTTCTTGGACCGTTGCTTGGTCGATCTATTCCTACTGTTAGTTCTTCCGACGTGGTCCAATTGCGATATAGAAACCATTAATATGCAATGACTCCTACAACGTTGTAAGATTTATTGCTCGGCAGGATGTTTTGGAACACAAAAGTAGATTGTCTTGTTGACTTTAGTGCGTTATAGCAACGAGTCGATCGGGAAAAGTTGATCTGTGTTAATACATGCGCGTTTGCGATGTCAAAGTTCATGATGCTGCTCACATAACATTTCCAGACTAGTGCTCTCATCCATAGGATGCATGCGTGCAACGGGGACGCCTTTCCACCTGAACTCAACGCGTGACGAAGCTTATGTAAGTGGTGGAACCATACAAGAGGTTGTCCATATCCTCAGACCCTACTTGTGTCTTTTTTGTCACGGATGTTGGGTCACAACTTCGGGTTGGTACCGAACTAACTGAGAAAACATCACCAACTTTGTGATTTACGGGGCCAGAGTAATGACGAAGCACACGTTGATACCCAATAGACTCATATTGTTGCCTCGTTTCAGAATATATGTAGCACATGTATGATGATAGGACCTGTATCGTTCAAGCTTGTTTAGCTCTGGTGTGGACTAGAAACTTTGGATAAAAGGCGGCGTATCTCTCCCTCATGCGAGATGTCGTCACGTCACTACAAAAATGCTTTTGTAGAGTCACTGTCGCCATATTCCTGGCTGACGTATTTTTCCCATCCGAACGATATCTGCAGACTTCACTTCTGTTTCATTTTTTCATTTACTTCTGACTCCCAGGAAAGCTCAAGTATGTGTATGTGTTGTTGCCTCTACACAACGAGTGGCCAATTGAGCCCAACTTTATGCAACGTAATCGTAAACCCGAGCAAATGCCGGCTAAGTGGGCGTAATTTTATCCCCATGGTTATACAATTCATTTATAGATGTATGCAGTCTATCTATCGAGACCCTATGTTGTTGCTCCAGCTAATCAAAACCAACTGATGACGATGATACCATCAAAATGTCACGCATTTTTCGCTGGAAGCGCTCAGCGTAAAGTTTAGGAGGCGCTGCAGAAATCCCCATGCGGTCGCGACGTAGCACGAGCGTTTTCCACAGACGCTCCAAACGCTTGCTCCATGTCCAAGTTTGCAATATGTCTACCACTCCGAGCGTATAACAGTCCGGGCCGACCACAACAGACGCATGGTACTCGTGATTCTCAAGAGTCCTCTCGCCAATCCATTTAGAGTCGTTAGCTGAAGGAGAGTTTGTTCCAAACAGACCGTACGAAACGACGTTGTAACGCCGAACAGAGCTATTTCCTTGTAAAAGTGGCGTATCATCATGCACCGTAAGACCAACGTCGTCCGTCTTGTTCACCACGGAAAAGCGACAAGTCCTGCTAAAGTTTCTCCGGTTTCCACATTCAACCTCGTCTAAATTCTCATCATCTTCGTTGACGAGCGGACCCACGCCATCCGTAGCGATCTTCAAGAAGGAATCGCTGTCAGGATGACAGACCGGGTAGCTCACCTTGCGCTTTGTCGGAGACTGTACCCTGGTACCTATTTCTGAGTGTTCGACCACGTATTTCGTGTTGTGCACACTTAGCATCAGGCTGTAGTCCATTATACCTTCCTCTTTCAAAAAGTTGCTGTCACTTTCAAGTTGACGGGCTAGGGCCTCAGCTGCAAACACACAAGACACCACAATTGTCTCAGTCATTCGTTGGATAAACCAAACATTTACGAGATCGCGACAGTACCTGTCTTCGCTTCCACTCGCATCTTTCGATGAAAGTCGTTGTCTTTCAACACGATGTGGGGCAGATGAATGCCACGAATGCTGTACTCGCAGCTTTCATTCGTACCATACTGGAATGCGTTGCTGCAGTACGTACAAATGACGGTCTTTCCTGGAGGAATCGGCTGCAATTATCGCACACACAGATCAGTTAGGGTCAATGTACATTCGTGCATCGCCAAAACACAACACAGTGCAAGGGTCTGATGTACCTTGGCATTGCGATCAACCCACGACCCTTTAATGTCGAAAAACTGGTGCATACTTGCTCGACCGATAACGTTTCCCATAACCACGAAGCTGAAAACTTGTCCGTACATCTCGATGGAATGACAACCATAGAACCGTGTCAAGTGCGAGTCCGAATTCTGCTTCATGTGACTAATGTACGCTGGCAGCATATTCAACAAGACGTTACGCTCACTCGTTGTCACAGACTTTACCAAGAACGAATAATCAGCAGTGTAAAACATGAAGGCGCCACTAGATCCACCAGACTCGAGTTTCTCGTGACACGTCGCCAAAAACGCTTTCCGGAACAATATCTCGTTGATGCCAAACCCGTGTCGAATGTCGCGAAACGATGTCGGGCTGTAGTCATCAAAGCACACAGTCATGCCCAGCTCATGCAGACGAAGGTGCACCACACGTCGACCGTCTGTCACCATCGGAGTATTTGACGAAGCTGCTACGATCCCTCGTGTCGTAAAGTGAAGCACCTCCTTGCGCAGCGCGACGTTAAGCTGAGGCTGAAGATCAATGTTCACGTCGCTATACCGATCAGTATCAAAGGTTGTGCTCAATCGACCAGCACGACAGTCTACTTGCGGCGGACCATTGATCGCCACCCAAATGACCAAGTCAATCAACCCCTTGGCTGCCTGGAGAAAGGAGGATGCATCACGTACTCGTTGCAGAGCAACATGGTGGTCCCTAAGGAACAGCACATCGGCAATCCAGAATGAGATCAGAAACAGTTGGTAGATAATGTAGGCGACCGTGAAAATCCGAGCGCTGCGGATCACATCTCTCTTGGCTTTCAGAGCTTCTTTCATGCCTTTAAACGGATGCGTCTGCGTCTCCAGCACTGCAAAGATGACTGCACACAAGACCGCAAGAATGACCACAACGTAATAGACTGCAAGTTCGTTCGGGTCCGTCTCGTCCACAAAGCACGACGCGTGGATCTTGGGGTCGAACGCGACGCTCGAGAGCCACAAGAGGGCAGCAAAGAGACACCCCACGCCCCATGAAAAGGCGTGGTACCACTGCAAGTTCTTCTTGAGGTTCGTGAACGGGTTCGTCGAGCACTGGTACAAATTGAACGACATACTGAGGAACCAGCACTCGGACGAAAAGGTGCAAAACTGCGTAAACGTCGCGAGCGCGCGGCAGCTCACGGGCGTCGTCATGTACATGTCCCAATTGTATTGAAACCGCAGCGCGTAGAGCAGGTCCACGACGGACTTCCAGTAGATAATCGGGTTCGGGTGCCGGCATTTGCGTTTCCACAGAAACGAGAGCACGACAATGGAGCAGCTAATGACGGAGATGAAGGCCCCTGTCTGTGTTGACAGCGAGTCCGGCCGCACGTAGTGCTGCAGGCGACTAAGCTCGGTCTCCATTTGCCTGACTTGAGGTCAAAGAGCGAGCTCCAGAGCGTCACGGGCGACGGCCGAGCGTCGAGTTTTTGCACAATGCGCGACACGAAATAAAAGAAGAAGTGAGAGCGAGCGAGTGAGTGAGCGAGTTGACAGGAAATAGGAATATGACAGACGGGGTGACGAGGAGTTTTGGTCTGGCGTGGGTGGGTGGGTAGGATGGTAGGTGTGTGCGCTCAAAGGAGGATGGACATGACAATTGAGGGGTCTTGCGGATCGACAAGGCATATCGATGTGCTGTGTTTTGCACCTACCCCGCTTCTGTAGGTGATGGCGTAAAAAGGTCAAGTCTCGTCGTCGAGAGTGTAAAAAGACCGGTGTTTACGTGACAATCGCGCGAGGTGGGTCCACTCAGTATAGTGAATAGGGACAGAGTCTTCGCGACGTTTCAGCGATAGGTCGTACATGGATGGTACCGTTCTCGTGCATACATCTGAGACGCCCCGTACGTGCCTCTTCTCAAGTGCAACTCATCGCTACGGGCATGCGATAAAGGCACGATCCGCTCGTTTGCAGCCAACGTGGTAGCGCGTCCAGTTGACATACTTATCCGGCAGAGCCGAGCATTTATAGCCGGCTGCATATGGTTCGAGCTGAGACAGATGTTTGTTAATCAGGTTCTTACCTGAGCAAGGTTGTGACATGCCGAATTCGAGTAACCTCAAGCATGTGATGAGATGCTGAAAAAGATAGTGTGCCTCTTCAATGATCACTACGGCAATAGTGCTGGTTGGTAACACGACCTACACTACTTCGTAGTGTTGTCCTCGACGCCACGAGCGATTGGACGATGACCATTACTTCCCGATTGGCAACGAATAAGAGAATCGCAGGTTCATAGCTTGTTTGGGCGACGTTTGTGACCGGCACTGGTTGTTCGGTACACTTAATACGACCGATACGAATTATCGTTGCCGGACAAGAAGTGCAAACTAAGGCATTACGTGCACGTCAGGTGACAACGTACGAAACGAGCACCATAAGACATACGCACGTATAATAATGAGATAATCATGTAGTAATAGTTCCAACTAATTGTTATCCGCATGAGCTGAAAGTGAACGTACGCTAGCACGAAGACTCAATAGAATCGTATCGGCGATTTCAGACTAGCCGTAGTGTCGGCTTGCGTATGGGAAAGAACTTCCATAGTCGATGACTATGCAATACTAGCGTTAGTAATTGCGGATCGGAGCTGCCATGACAGTAATAAAGTTGGCTGCTCTACGTCATTCAAACCTGTGTTGTCTGCTGTTGCATTATTGTAAAGCGCATCGTTGGACTGAATAGGCTGCAAATCTGAAGTCGTTACACACTCAAACGACATACTCAACTTGAGTCTTGAAGTGTTTCGATCTATCCCAGCACGACCTCCTGTAACGGAGTTACGCGCAGAAAAGTTAACCACAAATTCTCCAACCGAAGATAGTATGCAGTCGTAAAACAGAATATGCTCAGCGTGATGTTTGATTGAACGTCGATCTCCTCATACAAAAGGCTCATGCAACTTCCAGGTCGAGAGCAAACGTCCCATTCTAACTACGCGTCGTAATGCACAGGATGGTGTTTGCAAACCACGCAACAAGCCTAGACTGACAAGAACCAGTCCCGCGTCTCACCAATTCCATCGGAAAAATCGTACGATGCCGAGAACCCCAGCTTGTTGGCTGCTTTCACAGGTGAGCAAACCGACTCCTTCACGTCACCTGAGCGGAACGGGACGTGCACAATAGCAGCAGACGATTCGAACTTCTCCACAATGCGCTCGGCCACCGACTTGATCGAAGATTTGACACCCGTGCATACATTAAACACGTCAAACTCGCCGCTAGTCAAGAGCATCGCTGTACGGATAGCACGTGCCACGTCTTTCACGTACACAAAATCGCGGTACTGTTGCCCGTCACCAGTTACCTTCAATGTGCCATTGCTCTTGGCCTGCTCCATGAACCACGAAACAACGCCACTATACGACGAGTGGGGGTCCTGCCGGGGTCCGTAGACATTGAAAAACCGTAGCGCTGTCGAAGCGAGCCCGTGGTCCTCGTTGAACTCTTTCATCAACTTTTCCATTTGGAATTTGGTGGTGGCATATGCACAGATACCACCAGTAGCGGTCTCTTCACTCAGAGGCAAATTCTCGGGCAGCGGAACGCCGTACGTAGCAGCAGAAGACGCGGCAACGACGCGCTTGACGCCATTCTTCGTCGCCCAGTCAAGCACTTTGCGCGACCCTTCGACATTGATCCGCTCGTATTTCTCTGGGAGACGAGTGCTCTCTTCTACAGAAATTGCAGCAGCTAAATGCACCACATAGTCAACCTGGACGAGCAAGTGGGATAGAATGAGTGAGGCGGTACTTTAAGTCAACTCAAATTACAAGACCAGCAATATAAAGCAGTCGTTGCGTCTAGCACACCTTGTGGACAATGAACGAAAAGTCGTCGACGACTGTAATGTCTTTCACCAGCACTGACGCGACATCGCGATTGAAGTTCTTGCCGTTGCTCATGTCATCGTACACGACCACCTGCAAGAGCCATCGAACAAATTACTCTATCAGTCGTGCCATTTTCAAGAACATTCTAAATTATCAGCTCTCGTTATCCAATGCAAGAAATAGCAGCTAAAAGCCCGACTTTTATACAAACCTCAAAGTCATTGGCCAGTAAATCCTCAACGACGTGGCTACCGATAAAGCCCAAGCCACCCGTGACCAACACTGTAGGCTTAGAAGACACGTAGCGGCCGAGCGACGTGACACCAGAGCCACCACTCCTTGTATAGTGGTAACCCCCTCCAAACAGTGTCCCAGCAATGAAGATGGCCAGTGCACCCAGGTACACGTAGAGCTTCGGTAGCAGTAGCCAACTTGTCTCGGGGCGACCCTGACGGCCGTGACGCATGGGCAGCATGATTAGGATACCGCTCCTGACTCTGTTAGCGCAGGTCGTAAGAATAAGGTGGCAGAATCGCATACTCTATTTCACCACCTATTTTTAGAATTAGGAAAGTGTAAAAATGTCCGGATTGTATCCGCGATACACGACGGAAAAAGGCCAGAATAGCGGCGGCTCTTTTTGACATGCGCCAGTCGATTTTAGCCTCATGGAGTATGTCCAGTGACGCCATCGAAAGGCCGTGAGTGTCGCGAGTGCTCTCTCCCATGCGTACGAGTTGTTCAAGAAAAAAATGATCGATTGCAGTACATTTGCATCAACAAAGTCAGAGTCGCATGGAAGTTGCTAGAAAACGAGCTTGACCCTCTAGATTTGATGGCTTCCCTGTAGAGGTTCACGACGCGACCTTGCTTACAAACTTACTACGCCCAGCCGACGTCCATCGAGAAGGCTGACATCTTCAACTTAATGTGGAGCGATAAAAACAGCCAAAAGAAAGTGTGTAGTAGAAACGATCTCGACTACACATGTACGAGATCGTCGCGGCCGTCGCGTCGCTGGAGATAGCCACTAACTGCATTATGGTTCACCTGGATGCACTGACGCAACAGACAAAAACCGGAATTGTGCGTAGTCAGGTGAGAAGAGCGACATGAATGGCGACTCTAGCGACCAAGCGTCTATCCTTTTGCGTGCTGAGAAGTTCGAGTGACGGGCAAGCACGTGGCACCAGACCGCACATAAGCTGGAAAAAGGTTCGAAGCTTGTTGACGAGAATTTGGATGTTGTCTGATTGCAGCAGAGTTTCTCTTATTTAATATGACTGGGACCGCCAAATTTTGATTAAATAGGGGAATTAATCAGTAGCAGAATTAGGAGGAAATGGTTGAAGCAAAGGGTGCTACATGTGTTAGCAAGAAGGATGATAGCGTGGCCGCATCGCCCGTCCCTCTTCGAAACGCTCTGCATCGATGCTTGCAGAGCTCAAGACTTTCTGGTCGCAGCAAGAGACTGGAGAGGAGTTCTCAGGGACATTTCAGAAGGTGCAGGACCAGGTGGAAAATCTCCAGCAAAAATCTCTCAAGCAACCAACTGGATAATATTTTTGAAGTGGTCCCCCGGCAGTAGTTGAATATTTGTATGGTGGGATATTTCTCTGGCTTTAATTTTAAAAATTAAGGATTTTTTTACTTTTGGCCAGGGCTAAACCTGAGACTCGACATTTTTATTATGTAAAGGAGTTTATTAGCTTAGAGAGTAATAAATTACGGAGACTCAACTGTAGTAGTAGTTGGCGGAGTTGAGACTGTGTTGAAGCAGCACCCTGCGCTATACGCATCGGGACGGACAAATAGGAGACGTTGTCGTGGTGATTTTGTTCAAATTAATGCTCGATAGTAAAAAGGATTCTGTTATTACGATTTAGCCTACCAGTAAATCGTTCAAACTTGTAAACTTCCTCACCAATCAATCGGTTGGTTGCAGTGCAACACCCAGGTTGACCAGTCAGAAAAGACAGGCAGTGTCGTCAGTCGTATCTCGGCCCGTCCTTGCCCATGTGCAAATCTTCCTTCAACACTCCTCCTCGACTGCGGCACCACCATAATCCCCTTCTTTTCCTCGAGTCCTGTCTCTACCGAGGCTCATCAACTCGCACAGCGACGCAAGCTTGGCCGCATCCAGGGCCTTCGTCATTAGGTCAGCAACCTGGGCTTCAGACCTGACGTACTGCGCCTGTATAATCTCGCGTCTTGAGTAGTCCCGCTTAAACTTGAGCCGCACATCGATGTGCTTGGCTTTCAAGGAAGACGCCTCGCCATCCAGCTGCTTGATAGCGGCTTGATTATCGATGTATAGCGTCATCGGCAGTCCGGGTGGCATCCCAATTTCGCGCAGCATCTCTCGGATCCCAAGTAACTCGCGCGTTTGCTCCGAAGCTGCAAAAAATTAGGCTTCCATGGTGGATAGAGAGACGCCGCCTTGTTTCTTGGCCGTCCAACTCACCGCTATGCCGTTCAAGAAGATGACTCCGCCCGTCAACGACTTCCGGTCCAGCTTATCAGCAGCGAAGTCCGCGTCTGAGTTCGACTCCAAGTTCACTGTCTCGCGCGCGCTCGACGCCGGTGTCATCCGTAGCTTGAAGCTGCAGGTACCCTTCAAGTACCTCGCGATGCGTTTCGCGAGCTTGTAATCATGGACTCGCGGCTGGTGCGTCTGGCGCGTCGCCTTGTGGACGGCAAATGCAATGTCTGGCCGCGTACATCTCGACACCCAGAGAAGACTACCGACGAGCGATTGGAAGCTTCGAATGCTTGGAGCTCCTCCTTCTGCATTAACAAGCAGAGCGCTGTCTGTCGTCGGGATCTCGTAACAATCTGCACCGATGGGGGTCCGCGTTGAGTTTGCATCTTCGAGACCATGATCTTTTAGGATGTCGTTAATTGCAACTTCTTGATCGATAATATATCCTCCGTCATTGTCAACCTCCACTCGCATTCCTAGGAACTTGTTGACTGCTCCTAGGTCCTTGATAGACAGACTGCCTAGACTCGCGAAGAAACGATCGACTGCTGCCGCGTCCGTACCAGTAGCTAGCATGTCATCAACGTAGACCCCGACAATCACGAGGTCTCTCCCATCCTTCTTCCAGTATAAACACATATCCGACACGCACTGCTGGAAACCAACGTCAATAAGCCGTGCATGTAGTAATTGGCTCCAGAGCCTCCCGGCCTGTTTAAGGCCGTACAAACTCTTGCGAAGCTGTAACACCAGTTCAATCACGCTCGATGCCCTCAGTGACTTGATAGTATCACTGCTCACATCCATTCCTCTTGGTACTTGTAAAAGTATCTCCAAATCAGCCTCTTTGTCAGCCTTTACGTAGGCGTTAGGGATGTCGCCATGCTTTGCGACGACTCCCCACGTTACTGCAAGAGGTAATATTATCTTCACCGTGGACATGTCCATCACGGCAGCAAATGTGAGGACATAGTCAACTCCAAAAACTTGCTCATTGCCGCACGCCACAAGTCGCGCTTTAAGGCATTCGACATCCCCATCAGCAGTCATCTTTGTCTTGTACACCCACTTCGTGTGGAGTGCATTGCTGCTGCTCGGACGCTTGATAAGATGCCAAACGTCGTTGTTCTCGAGCGCTTCCAATTCTTCACACATCGCCTTCTTCCAGTCCTCGCTTTTAGGACTTCGCATTGCTTCGCCGTAGTTCTTCGGATCACGCTCGTACACATGGTTTACGATGCTCTTATTACTCGCTGGCTCCTCCTGACCCGCGAATTCCTGAGCTCGCTTCGACGCACCACGCGTGCCGTGTGACGAGCGGGTCCATGACTTCTTCTTCGACCGTCCGCTACGCACAGTCAATTTCCCTTTCTTCTTCTGCTTTGATGAGATCGCTAGTGACGCCATCGACAACGCAGACGATTCTGCACTCCTGGAATCAGCTTTTCCGGCTTGATCTCCGTATTCCAGTGCGCGCTGAAGCTGTTCATTTTGCTCGTCACTTTTTTTTTTTATACATGCTGCGTGACGACCACGATGTTATCCTTTTGCAAAAAAAACTCGATAGCCTTTAGTTTCGTCGCTCATCCCGACGATAATCCCAACTTGTGCTCGTTGTGCGAGCGAGTTCTTGCGAGGGTCTCGATAGACCGTGCAACTTGAGCCGAATACCACTATGTTGCGCAAGTCGGGGACAACCTTCGTGAGAACCTGTATTGGCGACGCGCGTCGCAGGTTTGCGCTTGTAGGACTCCTGTTCAAGATGTACGCCGCGTATTCGACGGCGTCTCCCCAAAATGTCAAGGGCAGGCGGCTTGCAAAGATCATGGACCGAGCCATATTGAGAACGGTCCGATGCATCCGCTCCGCCTTGCCGTTCGAAGCTTGATTTCTTGCCGCTGAGACTTGACGGTCTACTCCAGTGCGCTTTCAGAATAAGTCCACATTCTGGTACTCCCCGCCGCCGTCCGTACGTAGCACAAGAATACGACAAATAAATCGCTTTTCAAAAAACACCAAAAAGTGCTCAAACTTCTTCGCTGCTTGATCCTTAGTTGGGGCCAGAAACACGCGGCAGTAATTCGACTTGTGATCAATAAAATTCACGAGATATCTGTTTCCATGTCGGTCCTTGGGCGTCATAGGTCCCTTTAGATCCGAGCAGATAACTCCACCAATCCTGTCGATTGGTGCATTCACGCCGGTGTCCTTTTGCGATTGAGAATTCTTCGTCTGCTTCCCTTCAGCACATGACAAACACGTGAGTCTGCGCCGATCCGTGAGTTTGATCCCTGACGCAGGATCCTTCGCCATTCGTTCCACCGTGTCGAAAGAAAGGTGTCCGAGTCGCTGGTGAAAATGCATGAGCGTGCCGCTTTGCACTCCCAACGATGACTCAGCCGCTCCTTCTTCAGCCAGTATTGCCATTAGTACATCACTTGGCATGCTCCTTAAGTGCGAAGTTTCCACAGTCTTAACGTAAAGTACGTTGTTCTCCATTGTCAAATCGAAAGCCACTTCCCCATTACTGCGATTGGCGAGCGAGCGCGTCGCGCCATCGTACACCAATCCAAAACCTTTGAGCTCGAGTTTTCCATATGAGACAATGTTGCGCTCGAGTTCAGTCGCAAGGTACACTTCGATAAGCTTGACCGTCCGCTCCTTGCCACCTGCCATAACGCATAAACGGACGCTACCGACTCTTGACAGGGATAGTGTTTCTCCATCCGCCATGTTGCACTGATAGTTGCAGTCTTGTGCATCCAGCAACAGGCTCTCATCCTTCACGAGGTGACGACTTAAACCACTATCCAAGATCCACTCTTCATGCTCGTCCTTCGCATCTTTTCCAGCATAACCAAAATGCGGGTTCTTCTTCTTGATTCCACGATCGTTGATCGCCAAAACGAGGTCTGCGCCATGTTTTCCACGACGACCATCGTAACTACTACGGCCTTTGCTTCGACATTCGGCCTTGATGTGACCGGCCTTTCCGCACCCAAAGCACGTGCGTGTCTCCCTCTGTGTTGAGACCTCGTCCACGAGCGCAACAACATCTCGTCCTAGAGCCCGGCCCTTTAGCGACTCCAGCTCTACAGACTGCGCGAAGTGGGCGAGCTCCTCAGCTTGACGCAAAAAACCCACTCTTGAGTTATCGTACTTAGCCATAAGCACCGTACTTAGTTCCGTCGACGCATAATGCACGATATTATCCAACACCTATTGGTCCGCGCCACCACACGCGTCGCTGACAGCAACCAAGTAAAGGTAATGCTCCGGCCAACTTCTTTTGGGGTCTTTACGCGCCGTGAAGAGCTGGATTGACTGCGAAGCCGTGATTGTGGTCTTAAAAGTCTGATAAAGCCTTTCCATGACATGATCCAGCGTCGGTAGTTGTGTCCACCACAACTCCAGCTGCTTGTTATAATAGCGCTCCGCGGTTCCGCTCAATTAGTGTCCAAGTAAGTCAGCTTTAACTTCCTCGGACCATGCGAATCCGCACGCATGCTGGGCCATCGTAACTTGCCGGAGAAATGTTCTCCCCCAATCAAGAAAACCGGAGCCAAGTCCATGGTATAGCTCACTACCGTCAAACTTCCTGATCGCCAGCTTTCGTTGACGTGCGTCCGGCACGCGATGCGTAGGGCATGGCACTTGCTGAGCTTGTTGAGGCATATGTTGCGGTGGGTAGCCTTGCCGTAAGTCCGGCGCCGCATACTGCGGTCCGAGCGGTTCAACGTGGGCGCCTTGAGCCGGTGACACTCTCGGGTGCTGCCTTGGCTGGTCATGCGCTTAATACACAGCTTGTCGTCTCGGCGGCGAGTTGCCAAGAGCGTCCAGGTGCATCGGTCCAGCGTTGCCCATGTTGCGGCCAAGCAGAGAGCTGAAGAGTCCACTCTCGATTGCACCTCGAAGTCGCTCGTTCTCGTCCATATGCATCTGGGACGCTTCCATGCGCTCCATGCGACCTTCGAGTCCCATGAGCATCTTGAGGATCCTCTCGTTCACGTCCGCGCCCCTTTCGTGGGTTGGCGGGTCGACGACTTCGGCAGGCGGCGTCACGGTCCTTTCGCGACCTGTGATTGGCGGCGCCTGTGCCGCGTCGTCGGAGCTGTCATTTGGGCTCATAACCTGTTCAAATTAATGCTCGATAGTAAAAAGGATTCTGTTATTACGTTTCAGCCTACCAGTAAATCGGTCAAACTTGTAAACTTCCTCACCAATCAATCGGTTGGTTGCAGTGCAACACCCAGGTTGACCAGTCAGAAAAGACAGGCAGTGTCGTCAGTCGTATCTCGGCCCGTCCTTGCCCATGTGCAAATCTTCCTTCAACAGATTTGAAGATGCTAACGCGACCTAAAGTTTTTGACTGGGGCTTCGTCCCGTAACATTCCGTCCTGCAGGATCCCTGCGCGTCCTGCACGTCCCGCAGAGCGTTAGGGATGAGGGTACAGAGTATTTAATTAGTAATGTAAAGCATGCGGAATTGATCGATGATTTTATGTCTACACCGTAAGTGATGTCTTGTGTCTTAGTCAAGAAATAAGTTTTATCAATCGAATTAATGATTGCAGGAAAACGTTATTCAGCCACCACTTTTTCATTAACCAGCCACCACCCTTTAGTTAATTAATGTGATGTTATATTGATTTTGAGAAACAACGCATTTATTTGGTCACGCAAGCATACAACATTGTAAAAGCCATTGAACCGATTTTTGCAGTCTATAGAGTTGGGGTCAATTAAACTGGACCGACGTCTTGTGTTTGATCTACATGGGCAGCAACACTACGTTAATAGAATCATGTTGTTCATTCTGTGGCTAGCAGACCAGCAAAAAGGATTTGGCCAGGTTCTTCTGGACGAGTGAAGCGTGATGCTCTCGGTTTTCTTCCGTTTGGGCCCGTACTAATATAAATAGACCTGATATTTGATTTAGGGGCCGCTGTCTACGAAGGTATACAGGTGGTCCTCACATGAGATCAAGTGCATTGTGCTGGGATGTGTTAGTTCATGACAAGACGTCGGCATCACAAGTTGAAGAATAAGATGGAAGTGTCAATAAATAGTTTGTCAAACTTGTGAGTCGTAATTGACGCGAAACGAAACAGAATTGCCAGACTTCACCTGGCCAGGAGTAAACACTTCGTGCTACGCCTGGCAGAAGCACGTCAGTGAGTTCGTTTACTTATCGATAATGGGTTTGATTGTAGGCAGGGTGAAATCATTTTCTACGGCACCACATCTGTATCGCCTATACTTTTTGTCCGTTTGGCTACTTCGACATAGCTTTTTGTTGTTGTGCATGGGTTGCAATTGCTGCCTTAACTTCCTCCAACAATCGTACGCAATCTGGGCGGTGTCTTGAAAATTTCCATAGTAGTCAGCAATGAGCAAAAATCTGGCATTGATTTTACATGACAGCACACAAAAAGCGGACATGGGTGTAATGATAAGAAAGGTTTGAGCTTAAAAACACCTAGCCTAACTTTCATCCAATGAGTGCGTTGTTCTTCAAAATGAATGCAAATTATATTAATTATCGGAGGGTGGTGGCTGGTTAACGAAAGGGTGGTGGCTTGTTAACGAAAGGGTGGTGGATAATAACGCTTACCCAAGTATAAACTATCTATTTAGAAGAAGACATTGGGTAAGGGCCAAATCGTGCGTCCGATCACAACAACGTACATCAGTTTTGATGTCGGAGTAGGAGTTACACGATCATCTATTGACATATTAAATGTGTTCAAGATTCCTGAAAAGTCCTGAGCCAGGATATAAGCGCCGGTCGCGGCAGCGGATCGTGGCTGACACCCGTGTAGGGCGGGTGTCCCCAAGACTCTTGAATCAGTAATTCTAGACATGCATGAAGTCGGGCCCCACGTACATCAGTCTCGATGTTCACGAATTACAATTGCCCAAAGCTGACGAACACCGCGTTCCCAGTATGTAACGGGGTGAATCGTTACATAACAATTTATAAGAAATTGTTAATAGAATATAACTATAAGAGTTATATTCTCAGAATATTGTCATAAGGACAATATTCTGTAGCACTTCCAAGTAGTTCCTAATTGGTTGATATAGGCCATTATATCAACCAACGAAGACGCGCCACGATAGACGCACGCAATGAGTGGTGAGCAGATAACTGATTTACACATTTGTATTTAGACATAGTTAGATGAAGATAAATAGTGATTTATTGCAGACATTAACTATTATAAATACAGTTCTACTTTTACTCTAACCAAGTACTCGCTTCTTCTTACCGTCTTCCTCTGCACGTACCAGTGTACGTGAAGTTACGAGGCACCGCCTTATTCTGTTATCAGAATAAGTAGCTTGTACTGTCACCAGTACAAGCTTCAGGGTGCCCCGTTACACCTGGTAGCACTTCGTAGTCCTTCCAAGGACCGCGTTCACATCCAACATGAATATGTTGGATGATGAAGATGACCAAAGCTTTCACGCTACGCGTGACGGCTACTCCCATTTGAGCGATGTCGAATGGGATGCGGTTGAACGAATGGGTTCGACCATGGGCATCCATGCTGTTAGCGTCATGCTAGAGGCTCTCAATAGAGATGCCCAACATGCTACTATCGCCAAGTTCATTCAAAATGAACTTGACGCAGAACGCGAGAAAGTAGCCTTGCTTCACCAACAAGGTTCTCAACAAGCAGAGTTGTTGAGAGAACAAGGTGCTCAACAGTTTGAACTGTTGAGACAGCAGCAGGCTGCTGCTGGCGGGTCGATGCACTCGCGTCGGCCCGAGACTTTGAAGATTGACATCTCAAAGTATAGGGGGTCGAAGAAGACTCCCTCTTGAGATGGTTCGTCGAATTGGATGACGCCATAAGGGCGCGTCGCATCGACGACGGGGATATGCAAGTTGCATTTGCCCAGTCAAATCTGGCAGGACGTGCCAAGACTTGGGCACTGGGGCTCAAGCTGCACGACCCATATGCGTTTGGGTCGTTGGAAGTCTTCAAGTCGCGGCTCAGACAAACGTTTGAACCGCCTAGAGCTGAGTTCAGAGCTCGAACCGAACTCTTGAAGCTCAAGCAGGGTAAGCGTGATGTGCACGCTTACGCTCAACATATACGACATCTCACGAGTTGTATAAGTTCCAATCCGGTGGATGAACACACGTTGGTTTCGGTGTTCATGCAGGGTCTTGCGGATGGTCCCGTCAAGACTCACCTGTTCCGGCTTGAACTAGATTCACTAGAACAAGCCATTTCAATTGCGGAGCAGGAAGACTTCAGTCTGAGACAGGCTCGCGCCAGCTCGACATCATATCGTCAACCGAGACGATATGACAACGGAGGTCCAGAGCCGATGGAACTCTGTTATGTAGAGAGCGAGAAGGCTCGCTCTACAGGCTACAAGAAGTTGCAGAGATGCAACAGATGTCAAAAGACAGGACACTACGCTTACGAGTGTAGTGCCCCTCGTCCAGTGTCTCGCGACACTGGGCGTAGTGACCGTCCACCCATGAGAAAGGGGCAGGGAAGAGGGTCCGCAGTTGGTGCAAAGACGCAACAACGGGATGGACCGTCAAAAAACGGACAGGATCAGTAGGTGCGGAGCACCCTACTGATCCAGCAACGTCAAGAGAATTTGTAGGCCTCTTGATGAAGGTTGCTCCCAACACACAGACATTGTGCGTTGCTGCTCTAGGTAATGAGATCTCACTCATTACTTTGAAACTCGAAGTGACGAATAAGTTGTCCCTTCGAGCTCTAGTCGATTGTGGGGCGTCCAACAATTTTGTGCGACGCCAATCGCTAGAAGATGGTCACTTTAAATTCAGTGAATGTGACACACCTCCTACGAGGATGACGGTACGTCTTGCGACAGGCGCATCCGTAACCGTCATGAAGCATATAGTGAAGATTCACTATACGCTAGAAGATACCCAATACGACGATGACTTTATCGTATTGGATTTGGATGACAAATTTGATGTCATCCTTGGAATACCGTGGCTCAGAAGGTACGAACCACGGGTAAACTGGCAACATCGGACAGTAACGATGCCTGCCGCTTGTTCATCAGATGGCCATCTGATGAACGTTTTGGAGAGTCCACAAGCGTGTGGATGTACTACGAGTGAGTGCGATGGCCTCACTTGTGGTACGGTCGTTAGTACGACTGCACAAAACCTTAGTGTAACAAACGGTTACACTTCGGAGCAAAGTTCCGGCGGCTGTGAGGAAACACAGGCTGCGCCGAAGGTCCACCACTCGAATAAGTCGGGTGGACTGGGACAAAGATGTATCCCTAGAGGGGAACATCTAGAAGAGAAACAATCGATCGCTCAGGTTAAGCGAAACGATAATCCTAGATCGACTGGAGAGTCTTTCGTAGAGGATCTCGCTGTGGTTGCGCAACCCCAGCTAGAGGAAGTAAAGGGAATAAGTCCCAAGATTACAAATACGGCGGAAATAAGTTCCCCGAAACCCGCTGGAATAAGTCCCCGGGTAGACGAAGGAATAAGTCCTTCGAAGCCTGAGGGAATAAGTCCCCAGGAAATGACAGAGACATTGAATGTCATAGTCAATAACGGATCATGTGTAGGCGCTTATACACTTGATCTGATTGCGCCTCCGAAGTTAACTTCGGAGATCACTCAGTTGCCAACGCTCGAACATAAAAGATTCTTGCGTGATCTGCGTAGTGGCAAAGTCAAGCAGATCTGCATACTCGTCGCTGACGACGAGTATGTAACCGACATAAGGTCAGCAACAGTGTTTACTGAGAACGAGAGAGTTCTCAGTAGTTCATCTATGGACGAGAGTGTCCTAGATGAAAAGACACGAATTGAGTGATATGAGTCCCAATCATGGGAATCGCTCAAGGAAAATCCTCTCTATGAAGATTTGGTTGAATTCAAGGATGTATTCCCTGAAACTGTTCCGTGCGAATTACCGAAGGATAAAGGTATTCGACACGAAGTCGAGCTTAAACCAGGCTCGAAGTACTGTGTCATGAAGCAGTGGCCACTGCCTCGTGAACAAGTACTTGCGATCGACAAGTTCTTTGCCGATCGTTTAGCAGCGGGCCATGTGAGGGAATCAACTTCCCCACATAGCTCTCCGACCTTCTGTGTGCGAAAAGCA